CTCTTTTTGAAATACTGTCTTCTCTTGGCTTCCAGGACAGCTCTCTTCTATTCCCTCCCTTCCCCCACCTCATAGGCCTCTCCTTCTCGGGCTCTCTTTCTGGGTTCTCTTCCTCCACCACTCCCAGCCCAAACACGGGAGGCCCTCGTGGAGGTGGGGGACTCCCCTCAGCTCTGTTGACATTTGTTCCCTTGGAGAGCTCGGCAGCCCCTGGTTGCACCCGGGTCTCCTTGACAAGGACTTTCAGCACTCGGCCTCTACCCCAGGCCTCCTTGACTATCCCACTTGTGTATCCAGTTGTCTGGTCTCGTCATTCAAAGCTGAGCTCCTGCTTGGCCTCCCCTCACTCCTGTTCCTCCTGTGGGCTGACACCCCTGCAGCTTCCTTCTCCTCAGTGTTCACTCCGGGAACTGGACTTGTCCTTTGCCTGGGTCCTGCCGCCAGTCCATGGATGTCCTGACGGTGCTGTCCTCCAAGGTAAGCGCTTCTCCCCTGCCTCCCGTGGGCCCCGCCATCTTCCTACGAAGCCTCCACATCCCCACTGTGCCCCTCACTCGTCTCCCTCCTGCCTGCAGAGCCTGGGCCGTCCCGATGGCCTGTGGTGGACCGCGTCTCTTCCTTCTTTCGTTTTGTTCACCTCTAGCCACCACGGCCTTCTTGCTGTGCGTGGCCATGCTGGGCCTGCTTCTGTCCCTGCTGGAAGCTTCTTCCCCCAATTCTGCGCAGCTCTCTCTTTCTCACCCCTCCGGGTCCTCCTCTGAAGTCACCTTCTCAGGGAGCTCCTCCTGGCTACCCCGACTCCTTTCTGGGTCTTTCTAGGGCCCTTTCCTGCTCATTTTAAAACCTCAGTCTGTATTGCACTGCCTTATGCCCTGTGGATTCTGCTTGTGTGTTCAGCGTCTGTGAACTCTTCGAAGGCAGAAGCTTCTGCCCTACGTGTTCACCGTTTGCAATGCCTGGCTAACAGCTGGTACTCAGGAACTCTTTGTTGAGTGAATGAATGCATGAATGAGTTTCACAGACGGAAACCCATGGGCTTACTTGCTTCAGAGTATTCTCTCTCATTCCCTCTCCCCGCTTCCCATCTCCCCTCAGAAGAGGCTTGGGGTCCCCAGCTCCCTTCTCCCAACCCTGTCCCTGACCCTCCGTTCCCACCAGTGGCACTGTCCTCACGTGTGTCTTTATGGTCTTACTACAAATGCATGAGTAAGCGAGACAGAGTTTTGTTTTGTGTGTATGTGTTTTTAACAGCGATGAAATACACATAACATAAAATTTACTGTCTTAACCCATTTCCAGTGTACAGTTCAGTGGTGTCACTGCGATACCTCTGCCCACAGGACTCTTCATCTTGTGAAACAAAACTCTGGACCCATTAACCAACACATCCAGTCTCCCCTAGCCCCTGGTGACCTCCATCCTGCTTCCTGTGTCTATGATCCTGACCACTCAGGGTGCCTCCGACAGGTGGAGTTATACAGTATCTGCCTTTTTATGTCTGTCTTATCTCATGGCACACTGTGTCTTCACGGTCGTGTTGTAGCATGTGCCGGGGTATTTCCTTTCGAAGGCTGGATGCTGTTCCACTGTGTGGACGGGACACATTTTGGTTATCCATTCATCCATCCGTGGACACTGGGTTGCTCCCACGTTTCAGCTATTGTAAATAATGTTGTTACAAACATGTGTGTGCCATATCTTTTCCAGACTCTGGTTTCAATCTTTTGGGCATCTACTCGAAGTGGAATTGCTGGATCATATGGTAATTCTAAGTTAAATTTTTTGAGGAAAACACACATGCTGTTTTCCACAGTGGCTGCACCATTTTATATTGCACCAGCAGAGTACAAGGAGTTCCAGTTTCTCCACGTCATGGTCAATACTTATTATTTTCTGTTTTTGTTAGTAGCCATCCTAATGGGGGTATGAGGTGGTATTTCATGTGTGGCCTTTTTTTTTTTGAGTCAGAGTCTCTCTGTGTTGCCCAGGCTGGGGTGCAGTGGTACAATCTTGGCCACCAAAGCCTCGACCTGCTGGGCTCAGGTGATCCTTTGTCCTCAGCCTTCCTTGTAACTGGGACTACAGATCACGCCCAGCTCATTTTAAAAAATTTAAAAAGTATGTTGCCCAATCTGGTCTCAAACTCCTGAGCTCAGGCAATCCTGTTGCCTCGGCCTCTCAAAGTGCTAAGATTATAGCTGAAAGGGTCATCTGGGGTAAGGTGGGCCAGACCCAGTGCTGGGGCCGCAGGAATAATGCAAGATTGCAACCAAGAAAGAAAGTAGAAAGAAGAAAAGTTTATTGTTCACCTTTCACAGATAGGAAAGGGGGCCTCAAAGGGCCACGGAATGGGTATATTTTAGGGCATTTGGAGAGGCAAGAGAGAGCAGAAGGTCTTGGTGGAAGAGGAGAATGACAGAGAGAGAGAGAGAGAGAGAGAGAGTGAGCGAGCAGCAGATCTTGGTGGGAGAGGAGAATGAGAGAGAGTGAGTGTGGCAGATTTCGGGAGGACCAGCAGATCTCAGTGGGACTTTCCAAATATGTTAGGGTCTTCTCAGTGGAATCTCCAGAAAGTTAGGGCACACTCTCCCAGCGGGGCCTCCAGAATGTTAGGTCAGGCTTGCTGGGGGTATGGGTGTCTGGGGTGCAATCCAATGCCGCATGAAAGATGCAAAGAGTCACACAGAAGTTAGATTAGAGAATATAGTTTATTTAAAAGCAAATTAGAGAGAGAGAGAGGATTTGCCTCCCCAAGGTGGGGGAGGGGGCCAAAGCTAGGAAGCAGGGCGACACCAGAGTGTAGCAACGCAGTGGCAAATGGCTGCTTGTGGTTGAGCCCTTTGAGCCATTCCCCTTGATGGGGGAAGATCATTAAGGTGACTGGGTGGTGGTCTGCTCCACATCATCACGAAGGGGCAGGCAAGTACAGATACTGATGCCATGTGATGGACAGTAGGCAGATGGTGGGTTAGTCACATCATTGCTCCCATGGTGGGGTCTGTCTGTGTCTCCCATGTCACAAAGGGCTGATTAGGTTAACTTGGGATTTTTGGGCTGAGAGAGGTTTTTCCTGCAAGAGACTTATTAGACCTTTGCAGTCCACAAACTCCTTGACCAAAGGTGGTCTTATTATCATTTCTATGGCTTTGAATTTCCGCCTTGACAAGGAACCTGAAAGTTTACTGTAGATTATTATGCTGAATCATGAATTGAAAGGTTGGGCTGTCCTGGTCTCGCATCTGGTAGAGATTTGCCAAAGGGGTAGGATAAGCTGCTGCTTGGCCTGCAATAGAATGTCTAAACGCTTTCTAATGGTTATGCTGAGGCAAAAAGACTAAACTAAGAATAAGCTAAGTTTCATCTAAGTTTCTGTAGGTACCTCCTTTCAACAGGCATAGACCACCACATCCAACCTTTCATGTACTTAGTATTTTGTATATGTAGCTTGTCTTATGTACTCAAAATTTATTTTTTTAAATTGTTTAACCATGTGAACCCTGTAGATCTAGTTTATTTTATCATTTTAAAAAATGAAAGTCGTACTTGTCCACAACTTTGAAAAAACAGCAGTTCCCTGCACTCTGCTTCCTTTTCGTGAATTCTCACTCCACTTTGAAGGCTTCTGGCTGTTTCTTCTGTTACTTCTGTTCAGGTTTCAAAATGTAAATCCCGCTATTTCTCGGTTTTTCAGTTTGAGACCCTAACTGTTGACCCCTCTTGAGGAAGGAAGGAGCTGAGCTGTCTTAGTGTTTGAAGGCTACTCTTGACTGTTGTTTTCTTAAGCAGAGACATTGACATAATCCTGGGAAGCAAGCTCTCAGGGCTGGAGGCTTTGCTGAGCCCCTGCGCTCTGAGAACCTTCAGGACTTGGCAGGCTGATTTTTCTCATCTTTAATGGGAGAGGCGATCTCTAGGATCAGTTTGTGGAAATGCGCGGGTGTCCTGTTCGGGGTTTTTCTCTTATGAAGGAAAATGAAGCTCATTTTCCCGCTGGAGTTAAAAGGAGGTCAGGGCTGGGCTGCTAAGAACTGCATGTGGCTGTGTGCCCGCATGGAGCCCATGTCACCTCCTCAGTCTTCACGGCTGCCCTGGGGGCAGTGCTTTTTTATGCCCACCTCACAGAGCAGGAGACTGAGGCCCAGGGAGGTGAAGCCGTCAACCAAGTCCCATGATGCAAGCAGCAATGATGTGGGTGGGGAGGGTTAATTCTGACGCCATGTGCTGACTCCAGGTGTGCTTCCAGTTTCTCAGCTCAGACCTCCGAGTCCCGTGTCACCCCCCCCGCCCCCCCTCCCCCGCTCCGTGCACCTGGTGATGATGGGAGCATCTCTTGTCAGCCCGCAGTGACAGTGAGGGCAGGAGCTAGCGCTGCTGAACACCCCTGCGTGCCAGGCCTGGGCCAGTCCCGTCCCACTCCCAACTCTCTGGCCATTCCCATGTGGGGGTTGGTGGCATTTGCTGGGGGAGCTGGTGAAAGCCACACTCATGCCGTGTAGCCCTGGCTCCTGCACCATGCATTTCTGTGCTTGGGGCCCTCCGTCATTTCCATGAGTTACCCAGGGCTCTCTCCCAGCCTCATCCCTCAGGGAAGCAGGTGAGAATGAGGGACAGTGGCAAAAAGGACAGCTGCCCCCAGGGCAGACCTGGCTCTTTGACCGGTTGTGAGTGCAGGCATGGCAGGTTCCTTTTGGCTCTCAGTCTAAAGCAGCACCCATGAATAGAGCCTGGCTTTGTTCCTGGTGGCCAGCGGGTATGGAGGGTTGGACTGGAGAGCAGCAGGCATAGGGATGCGATTTTCTTAACCCCCAAAACGTTTTGGGAAAATCCCCAAGTTGCCATTTCACCAGACCTTTACATGTCTGCAGTAGAAAGCTGAACACCTAGATCTAGTTTTGGTGAGAAAATGGTGGGAACCCAGTTTTCTGGGAGGCCCCTTCTCTACCCGAGGGCTTGGCTACCTGGACTCAGCCCTGACACCTGGTGCTGTGTTTGCCTTGTAGGTGTGGAATGCTGTGGACTCGGGGCACTGCCTTCAGACCTACTTCCTGCACAGCGAGGCCGTGCGGGCCGCCCGGTGGTCTCCCTGTGGCCGGCACGTGCTCAGCGGCGGCTTCGACTTTGCCCTGCGCCTGACAGACCTTGAAACAGGTGTGTTTCTCTGTGTCACTGGTCCAAGGGGAGCTGGCAGAGCTGTTGCTGGGAAGGTTCTCCCGTGGGCCCACAGCCACAGGCCGCATAAGGCTTCAGGGCAGAGGGAGGGGGCCAGGGTCACCTCCTGCTCTGTGAATGTTTCTTTTGACTCCCTGCAAAGGGTGGGCCTCTGCCAGTCAGCACAGAGGACAGTGCCCCAAGGTTGTCTCTGCCCCAGGCCGCGAGGCTGGATAAAGAGGTGGCTTTTTAATCTACTTCTGACATGCAATTTGTACTGGAATAGATTTAACTTTATCACTGTGTCCTTTGGTTGGAATCAGCTTAGAATTCCTGTCTATTCATTATCGTTGAAAGGCTGTAAGGAATGAGTCCAGCTCCCAAGGAAGTCTTCAGCGAGTTCTGCTTTAATGTCCACACTGAAAAGGCTCTTGGGTAGGATGAGTGTGGGCTGGAAGAGCCCTGTGGGGGGAGGAAGGAGGAGTCCCTCCTGGGTGCTACATACACGCGGAGGCATGGCCAGCAGCTCCGGTGGCCCCAGCCCCAGAGGCAGGTCCTGTCTAGGGCTCACAGCGGGGACCACCGGGGAGTGGCAGAGCTGGGGTCCAGGCCTATGCCACCCAATTCCCAGTGCCAGCTTCTCTCAACACCACACGCCCATCTCCCAGAGCTCCTCCATGGTCACGTTTCTGCTGGGCTCTGCTGCCAGGGGCAGGAGGGGAGGTTGGAGGTTTGAGCATCCCTTGAGCCAACAGGCCAACCTCCTGCCCACCTAGCCCACAGTGGTGGCTCTGGGCCTCCCTGTCTCGGGGCCCGGCAGGAAGTAGGTGATAGCCCAGGTCCAACCCCTGCAGCTCATCCCAGCAGTTCCGAGGAGGTGCAGAGGAAGATTCTCCTCCCCCACCGACTGTCCTCTCCTTGTGGAGGGGTACATGGAGGGGTAGTCCTCTTCTTGTGAAGGGCTCCCCGGCCGTTGTGTTCTTGCTGACCTTTTCAGGCCCTGGCAGAGTTGCCAAAACTCAGGGAGTTTGGTGTTCTTGGTTACAGTGACAACAGGACTGATGATGGTGGCAGTGACTGACTCCCAGGTACCCGCCGTGTGCCAGGGTTTCTTCCACAGCCTTCTGTAGTGTTGCCCTTAGGCCCCCTCCCCTGGGAGGCAGGCACCATCAGAATCGCCCGTGCATACCCTGGCCAGGGCCACACTGGCACAGGGCATAGCCGGGTCTGCCAGACCCCAGGGCCTGCATCCGACTGTGGCACTCTCGTCTGCATGTCTCATAAGACATGGTTGGTGTGGGGAGCACATAGCTGAACAAGACCCTGGGGCTACCCTGCAGAAGCTCATGTCTACTGGGGGAGATGGAATTGCAGAGACACGCCCGAATTTCAGTGATGGAGCAAGATACAGGAATGACAAGAACAGCTAGCTTGGAAAATCAAGGAAGACTTCCTGGAGGAAGTGAAACTGAGCTGAGCCAGTAATTAGGTGGACAGAGAATTAGGTTGGAGGAGACGTGGTTAAGGGGGAGGACAGCAGGTTCTCAACAGATAGAGCAGCAAGGACAGAGTTGCCACAGGAACAGGATTCCACGTGGCATGTGTGGAAACCAAAGCGGGGGATAAGGCGGGGTGCATAGGACAGGGAAGAGGAGTCTGGGGAGCACAGGACAGCCCCAGCCCGCAGGTCACATGAGCACACGTGAGGGCCGCGTCGCCTGCGGAGTGGTGGGTGAGTGCATGTACCGCTGCGTTGCTCAGACTGAGTCCATTTGCTGATGTTCTCAATCAAAGGCTCACCGTGACCCTTTGTTGCTGTCCGAGTCCTCAGTCAGCAGATGTTAAACCAGCACGTGCATGTGTGGGATGGGCGTGAGTGCTTGTGTGTTGGGGGCTCTAGAATCTTGAGACCTCCACAGAGGGTCCTCCTGCCGGGCGGGTGGGGACGGCTGTCGCAGTGTTGGAGCAGGTGAGCACACACAGGCCGGTGCCCTGGGCAGGCCTCTCTGCAGCTGGTCGTGGGACACGCAGCCCTGGGTGGCAGTGGAGGGCAGAGGACGAGTGCCTCCCAGTTGGCACTAGGACCGCGCTTGGGCAGCTCATGGCCCCAGCCCGCGCCCTCCGGCTGCGGGGTGCCTGCTAGGTGTCAAATAAGGCCCCGCACTCGGGTGCTTGTGCACCAGCCGCACGCAGAGCCTGTGCTGGGGCCGCTGTGGAGTGTGTTGGGCAGACTTTGTCCGCAGGAGAGTGTGGTTGAGGGGTCTGGGCTTCACCCCTCCGGAAGCCCTCCAGCTTCAGCCAGGGCCTCCTGCTGAGGGCTGCTGGCGTCTGTGTCCGACCCACTCCCTGAGGGTGGGGGCCCGTCCTGGAGGTCTGTGTGTCCCATCATCTGGTCAGGGCCAGCTCAGAGCAGCTGCTCAGTGCCTGTGTGGACAGGACACAGGTGAGACTGGGCCTTACCAGGCCCTCCTGCCTCAGGCCGGAGGGCTCTGCCCGGGCCTCCCACCTGGTCTCTGCGCCCCCACCTCTGGCCCGACTTCCACAGGGTGCTCTCTTCAGTGGAGGCTGGCTGGGCTTGTGCAGCCCCTGTGGCTTTCGTCCTGCTCTCACTTACCCTGTCCTTTCTCATCACCGAGTCTGATCCCCCTCTTTGCTTGATCTGCTTTTTTCCGCCCTTGGTGATTTGGCTTTTTCATTTCAATCTAATTAGAGCTCCCTGCCAGGAGCAGGCAGCGTAGGGCGTTCTCGCCGCAGTGCTCAGGGAATTAGTCACTCGGTGCCCATTGTCGTTAATGGGAATTTGGCGCCAGGGCCATTTATCCTGGTGTCCTCAATCAATACAGTTAAAAATCTGTGGATTCTAAAATGTCAATACCCAGCCTGAGACGTGGAGGGCCAGCAGCGTTTATCTCGTTAATTTACAGTTCTGACAGGCTGTTGGCTTATGGGACAGCCATGAATCAACACTTAAATAAAATCTGCTCACTGATTAATTATTTTTGGTGCTCCTGTTTCGGTCTGTAATCTTCCTAACAAAGCGTCTCTGGCACGCTCAGCTGAGGTGGCCTCAGGGAACGCTGGCCATTTCCACCTGGGCCGAGTGTCGCCTGCTGTCTGAGTCAACTGTCCCGCACACCAAACTCACCAGTCTCCTCAAAACCCCCTGGAGAGTGTGTTCTACATCAAGTGGTCCCAGTTGTGTTTCTTGCAGATTCCAGCCCCGGCAGGTGCCGCGTCTGCCCTGGAGGCTGCTGCTGTCGGGGCACGCAGGGCCTCTAGCCTCCTGGTTCCTCGTCCTAGAGCTCCTGGGGCCCTGGCTGGGCACGGCCCCCTGCCCTCCTTCCTGTGCACAGGCCAGCTCCCCTGATGTGCGCCCAGCCTGCCCGTGCCATCAGTGCAGTGCCACCAGGTCCCAGCTCCGGGATCCTGGAGGCAGCACATGGGAGAAGGCACATGACCAGGCTGCAAACGGGGCTCTCCCGCCTCCCTGAGCTGGGTGACTAGGCGCCCCTTTCTTGCTGCTGTGTCAGTGCCGGGCTGGCAGGCTGTCGAGGGGACCTGCAGAGGTGCTTTGCAGGAGGCCTGGCTATGGGGGGTCCTGGCTGAGGGTGCCTTTTCCCCTTCTCTGTCACTGTCCCACGAGGCCCTTGTTCCTGCTGAATTGTCCAGACGGCCCTAGTTGGGCCCTTTCCCCAAATGAGGCCACTTTTTGATCATTGTCCCGAGGCCCCCAGCGATCCCTCTGTCTGTTTACTGGTGTGGCTCTGGGTCCTGTGTGACATGTGGGCCTCGGGAGCAAACTGGGAGGAGTCCTTGGGCCATCATGGGTTTTCCCAACTTCTCAGTGTTTTCCTTCTTTGCTGTCGTGGGTGTCAGCTTCCTCCAGGGGCTGGGACGGCACGTGCCCTTATGAGGGAACTAAGCCTCCCCACAGCCCGCCCTTCAACCAGACCCGCACCGCGGAGCTCTCGTTGCTGGGGGAGGTCTGTGGCCCTCTTCCCTTGGACTGTCAGTGTCTGCAGCCCTGCTGTCCCCAGTCCCTGGCAGGCTCTGCCTGTGCTGGGTGTCCCTGTGTCTTTCGATGGGTGTCATGGTGTGTCTGTACCATGTGTGGCCAACTGGGACTGGACCCACAAATGCCCATTTCCCTTGTTTTCCAAGAAGTTTCTTCTGGCGCCTCCGTTTTCGAATCATGATTGGGAGCCTCCCTCACAGAAACTCTGTGAGGAAGGAGGGAATGAGATGTGACCCAAGCCTCCCTCTGGGCCACACCCTGGGGTGCGTGGCCCTGGCTTCCAGCCTAGCCTGGAAGCAAGTGAATGTGTGATGGGCTCTGCTTAATGGGACATGCTTCATCTCCCCACTGTCCTGCGAGGGCCGTGTTTCTATCCCACTTCACGGACCCAGAAACTGAGGCTTGGAGTATTTGGTGACTTCCTCGAGTCTGCCCAGCCAGTGGTGACACACTTGGGGTCCAGCACAGGCCCGTGTCTGGCGGAGTTCCTGCTGTCGAGGCTGGGGGGCATGCCCTCCCACGTCTGATTCCTGGCCGGGGATGAGGTGCTTATCTGACTCCTGGAGAGCCGGCATGGCTCCCACCAGGCAGCGGCCTGCCACCTGCAGGGCATGACGAGGGCCCTCCAGGGAGGAAGGAGTGCCCTGCTGAGCTCGGTCAGTCCCTCTGATTAAGTGAGCAACCAAAGGAGCCCTCTCCAGCGATGGATGGCCGGCCAGCGGGAGAACAGCCCTGGAGACTGTAGGATCCTTGGCACAGTGGGGCGAGAATCGTCCAAATCAGACTCATGGCGAGGAGCTTCAGGAGCTTTGGGGCTTTGGAGAATGGGCCTCAGAAAAGGCTCCTTGTTGGCTGCGCCTTACAGTGAGCTGGCTCCTGCCTGTCCCTGGAGGAAGTGCAGCCACAGGCCCGACCTGCTCCGTACTCAGGCTTTCGGGCCCAGCCCTCCTCTGGAGCACTCGGCCAGGCGTCTACCCTTAGGTGC